AGAAAGAAAAAGAAAAATACAGGATGGTCTCACTCATAGCAGAAATCTAGAAAACCTAAATAAGAGACCGGGAAAAAGAATAACTATAAGAAAGAAAATATCAAAATCAACGAACAATTATGAACCAGAGAGGGTGAGGTTTGGGGGGGGAAGGAGGGATTGAGGTCAAAATAAGGGGGTTGCAATTGTATGGGGAATATAAAAATAAAATTAAAAAAAAGAATATATCACCTCAACTTTGGCAACTGTTTCTCTTGTAGCATATTAAAATATCTTAAACATGGCTAATTTGCTAATCAAATGTTTAATTTGATTAAATATTATTGATGAATTTAAAAAAAAGCAGAAAATAAAAAAATAAAATATAAACCCAGATTCCATTCATTACATCTGATGCTAAGTCAATATGGATGTCACTCTAAACCTGAAAGTTTGACTCTATTTACAAAGAGCTATGTATCATCAGAGTTAAATTCCCTATGTTCAAGCTGTTTATGTTACATCTTGTCCACAAGACTTCCAGATAATTTACCTTTCACGTCTAAAATTGTGGTATTTTAGCTCTGAAAAACACACTGAGAACATTTAAAATTTTGAAGATGTTGTAGAACTAAACCATTCAAACAGACTACTGAAATTATGACAATGGTCTTTGGTGTCATAGAAAATTTTGTTTTATCATCTTCATGTAAAATTTCTATGAACATTTTCCCTTTTGACAGAAATCCTGTGACCATTAGGAAATCAAAGGCTTGCTGCTTTTCCCAGTTTTTTGGATAGCAAGCTAAAAACGTACCTTAATGTCCATGATTCTATTGCAACCCCAGTTTCTCTAATTTCTTTCAATATTGAATTAAGATCAGAAAATGTCGTTGACTGACAACTCTTGTCTGTGAATAAAATAGAATGACTGTGGCCATTTAGATAGTCTGCCACTTAACACATGAGCACTCTTCTGTAATCCACAACTAGTTGATGCTCTGCTAGTGCCCAGGATACCCCCTTCTGCAATCTGTGTAGTGACACAATCACAATCATTAGAAGCTTTATCTTTCTGCCCTTGTAATGGGGTTCTCACTGATAAACAGCAAAATAACTAATTTTTCATCCCCATCTATCAAGTGTCGCAGATCTGTTCACACTGCACGTTTATGACCTTGTACACTCATGCAGAAAAGATCTGTTGACACACAGACAAGTATGAGTGTTCTTACACATTGTTGTTCATAATGAAATTTTTGCCAGTAGCCAGTCTGCTTTTGTGTAGAATGGTGGTTTTTCCTTCCTAAGTCTCATATTTATTTTAAAGTGACAGTTATAATTTGTACATGAAGTACTGGAGCCTTGAATAATCCTCCATCATTCATGACAAAATTAATCAATTTCATACAATAAAACCCATCCTTTTGAAACTGTTCTGGGAAAAGAAAATAATGAAACAAAATAACTTCTGTAGACAAGAGTACCAGGTGTTCCCTTGGAAATGTGCGTGAAGTCTTCCATAAGCTCAAACCAAGTTTTGTTTTACCAGTTTGGTTGCCACATGTTTCCATTTATGTAGAACAAATAGTTGGGAAACTTTTAGATATGGGGCCTTAGTTATGCTCTGCTACTAAACTGGATGTGTGACCCTGAGAAAGTCTTTTCGTTTCTCTGGACTTGAGTTTATTTTTCTGTAAAAGTTTTCTTTCAGGTCTACAAACTTGATTTTATTTTTGTATGACTGAATTTAATGGCCTTATTGTTTACTTTCAATTCAGTGATTTCATTTATCTTTTTCATTATAAAACAATTCTATGAGCACAGTTAGCAGCTATACTCATAAAATAGATTTTTGAAAGAAAATTTAAATATGCTATCTATAAATCATTAAATAAAAAAGATCAATTGAAAACAATGATATTTCTTGCTCAAAAGTTGCCTTTCAGATTGTTAAAATGAATATTTTGGTTTTTATTTGAAGCCCTTCAAAGAATGCTATAGTATGTAAGCCATAATACCGTTCTTGCAACATTATATAAAGCTTTCATATGTTCAATTGAGCAAACATTTGAAATGCTGACAAGAATAACATTGATCATCCTAACTCCCAGCAGTGAATTATTGCCAGTGTCTTGAATTTATCATTCATATGTAATAAGACAGTATCGTCTGTTCAACATAATACTGTTTCCTTCCCATCCCCACTTCACATCTTTCAGTTCTGTTAAAATAAGGAAATGTTCTCTCAGTTTCTATAGCTTCTTAAATTACCTGTTAATATACTGTCTCATGGTCTCTCTTCCCCTCTTTCCTTTTTTATTAGTGTTGTGATTATATGTATGTGTATGTGGTGCTTTTGAAGTTAACCAAAAAATTTTAAAGCAGTGAACAGGAGGTCGTCACACAAATTTCATTAAATACAATCTGCTGGCAAATAGCGTATGTGAGAAGAAGGCTGGGAAATTTAAACATGTGCATGACATATATTTTTTTTTTTTGACATATATTTTTGTAGAAATAAAATATTCCTGACAAATCATTCATTCTTGCCATTTCTTTTTGTTTTTTGTCATCTTTTAAGCTTTTCCTTGGAAATATTCAAAATGACCTGTGAATGTAAGAACGTTTTAATGACATTTTACAAGCCAGTTCATATGAAAAGGGCATGTACTCATGTATAGAAAGTTAAGTAAGCTACTTACTCGCAGTGGAGTATAATGAAGTACAATGTAGCTATATAAAAGTTGTGGACAGTTATTGTGACCTGACATGGAATGGCTTCTAGGGGACATTAGAAAGTAAAAAAAGCCAAGTGCAAAACAGCATACAGTGTATGCTGCCTTCTGTGTAAACAAGAAGTGAAAAATGAGAAAAAAAGCATACACATAGCTTATTATCTTTACAGAAAGAAATTCATAACGAATAAACCAGAAAATAATGAGGTTTATTATCTACTGGCGGTAGTGTGAGCATGAGTTGGGAAGGATATGGGAGAAAGAGACATGCTTTGAGTTCTTTAACTTTGGGAAGCTATTAATATTTATATTAAAAATAAATATATTAGATAAAAATCATTAAGAGATGAAAACAAAATGAAACCAATGAACTCAATCATTTTAAATGAATACCATAACAACACTGAAGAGAAAAAAATTGAATCAAAGAAGTTTATGAACACAGTTTTTAATTATAAACCTCATTTATGGATTGCTTGATGAGCAGGGCGAGAACAATGCAAATGAGTAATGAACTCTTTTGTAGGTTGGTTTATTATAGCACTGTGAGTGAAAGCATTCTGATACTATAATAGATATACTATAGGATTTAATACATGAATAAATGTATTGACCTTGTTAGAGGTGAAATACAAAAAATGGATGGGAAAAAACAATAAAACCTATCATGGATTAGATTTAGATATGTATCAATTTATGTTTTATAAAGCTATATGTATATGTTTATGTATGTATGAGTGTATGTGCATTTTGTATGTCACTAAAGTGAAAGAATTGAATCATTGTGATTGAATAATAAGTAATTGTGTGATCAAAATAAACATAACCAATGTGGAGGCAGATGGATATCACATGGCTCCCTATGTAATATCCTGAGAAGGACCTATCATCACCCATATACCACACTGGTGTAAAAAGTGCATAGCCTGTATCTAACCATGGGGACACAACATACAATCCAAATTGAGGAAGTTTCCTTTAAATAATGGTGGAGGGGCCTCCCCGGTGGCACAGCGGTTGAGCGCTGGGCTGCGAAGCTGCCCGCAGCCTCCGCAGCTCCGGTTCAATCCCCGGCCGCTGGCAAAGGTCCCACATAGTGTGCAGACCTCTCCTACCCGCCGCTGCTCCCCTCAGCAGTGTACTTCTCCAGTCTGCCTGTTCTGTTCCCTGCTCTGGCTCTAGTGAATTCTCTCACCCTCCCGCGCTTCTGACTGTACCCAGTGCTTGTATAAAATAAATAAATCCCTAGATAAACGTCTAAATAAATAATGGTGGAGAGGAAAGAACTATTTTCTTTAAAAATGCTAAAAGGATTGTGTAAAAGTTTAATTTCTACAAGTTAGTTAGTTATCTATTGTTACTGAAGAGAGTGTTCAGTGTTCCTATTCTTAGACGAAACACTACTCAGGGAAAAATATTTTGTATTTGTCAGTAAATGATTGGTTCAGAAAATAATTATATATGCTTTATACCCTGAAAACATACAGTGTTTTAAGTCAGTGTTACCCCAATAAACATAATTTGCATAGGGATTATATTAAATGGAGAGGGAAAAAGTTCTTGAATCAGAAAATTCAAGATGACAAAGATAGGAGGACACATTATAAGCAAATAAAACCTTCTTATTGGCAGGTACTCGATGGAAAGAACAAAAGGCCAAAAATAGACCCACAAATATTTAGAAACATGATAGAACAATGGTAACTTTGCATACCAATAAAATTATCTACTATTTGAAACTTTTTTGAATAATTTGTTTTCCATATGAAATAAAAGATTCCCTACCTCACCATAGAAAAAAATAATTCCAATCGCATTGTGGATTTAAATATGAACAAAAGTTTGAAAAGAGCGCTATGGGAACATCCGTGTAGGTATTCGGTTGCCAGGGATTTCTGACCTGATAAGCAAAATCTGCAGGGAATAATTAATATATTTTACTACATTAAAGAACAAAATTCTTTCCAACAGTATCTTTATAAGCAAACTGAAGACAAGTAATCAGAGTAATAAACAAAGGATTGTTTCCAGAGTACAGAAGGAGTTTTTCAAATTTAAAAAGAAACAAAGGAAAAATGGGTATAAGGAATAAAATGGGAAGTTCCCAGAATGTGCAGCACAACATGATCAAGCCAAATATGCAAGCCGATCCTCTCTTTAGCTGTATTACTGAACTTCCAAACTAGTACAGTAAGTTGTTGATGTGAATGACCACACCAAGTATTTTAATATCAGATTGTGAAGATATTTCAGTGACTAATGTTATATCTTTAACTTTTCTAGGACCAGTCCTTTCCAGAGCATGAAAATGGTTTTCAGATTGGAATGAGATTAGAAGGCATTGACCCCCGACATCCATCTGTATTTTGTGTGCTTTCTGTAGCTGAGGTAAGAATCGTGTTATTGTCTTGGGCTAGTTGCACAGAAGAGAATTTTCTATAGAATAAGAAATTTAAGTATGTTCTGTTACGGACAAGTTCTTGTAATTATGAATGTATTAGTTGTGGGTAACACATGTTTTTTAATGAACTCTTTCCTTCTCTGAGGATTGATTCTCAATAACACTTCCAATCTAATGGTTACTATGGATTTAATCAGTAGTGTTTATTTGAGGTTGGTAACAATTAGTAAACACCATATTGTTGCTTTTTCTGTTAAAAGAGGCATAATTCAAGTTCTAGCTCAACTAATGAGAAATGCTTATGAAAAGTATCTGTATATATATATTAATTACACATATAAATACATGCATTTAATGAAAATTATGTAGTGAAGAGCAGTTGATGAAAGTAAATTATTTATAAATTGTAATATTTACAAGAAATCATTTTCTTTAATTGACAGAAGTACATTTATTTTTAATAACACTAAACACAAAACGCAGTTTACTTAATTTACTCTCGGATTGTAACTTTTATACTTGCATGGCGTGACTAGAGGACATATTTCTCTGCCTGTGTTATTTCCTTTATTGCGTATGCTGGATCCATATGTTGGAGTTGAAATAAGATCATTCCCATTTTGATTTTGCTCTGTACCTTATTTTCTATTGTATTGGGATATGCATAAAAACCAGACAACTTGAGGTAGGGTTTCAGAAAGGAATATTTGACAGGTGTTGAATTAATGAACAAACTCAATTAATGCATATGCAAATTGACATCAGATTTCTAGATTGAGTAAAAGTATAACTATTTTGCAGGAAAAAAAAAACAATATTTGAAAGATAGTGTTTATGTAGTCAGCATTTTTTCTTCTTCAGATGTCACCTATAACTCCAAATACAAACATATTTGGATGGAAGGACTGACTCATACATGTTGATGGCACTCGTCAAATATATGAATATTTTGTTTTGTATGTCTCTCAAATGCATGATACTTAATGAACAATTGCAAACATCCCTTTTTTGCAGGTGTGTGGTTATCGACTAAGACTTCATTTTGATGGTTATTTAAGCTGCTATGATTTTTGGACCAATGCTGGTTCCCCTGACATTCATCCAGTAGGGTGGTGTGAAAAGACCAAGCATGAATTGCACATCCCTAAGGGTAAGCTGGGATGGGAAGGGAGTTTTATTTTAACAACATTTCATGAAATACAAACAAGTAAGCCTGGTGCAAAATGATTTTCAAAGTGAAAGTTTGATTCACAAAAAGCAGGAAGAATACAAGGATACCATTCTTAGAAATAAATAAATGTCTTTAAAAGAAAAGCATCAATGACTATTTAGGTCAAATATTCTGATAAAGTACCTAGGGTAGAAATAGTCTTATGAGATTATTTTAGTTTACATTAAGTTTATTAAGCCTTACAAAAACGAAGGAAACAAATGTTTACATTATGATTAAAATGAAATACCTCAATCATTGATACTATTAGGTAAGGAAACTTGATTCATTATATGTAATTTGTTTCAAGCAGAAATAATGAAAAACAGGGAACTATGATCAGTGAAAACAATTTCACTCTGTGTTCTGCTGTTTGGAATTAGAAATCTCCTTGTTTTTTGTTAGTGCTAGAGAAAACTGGGACTGATTAATGTGACTAAAGCCTCTGTTACTTGCTGTGTGCTGGTGAGGTGAGAGTTTGATCAGTTGAGATGTCAGTGTTCCTCTTGCCTTACACAGAAAACTTCCGTGTAAGATCTCCTGCTTGAATGTTAACCCATTTAGTAACTGTGGCAACCTTAAAGTCAGCATATTCTTAGTACATTATTTTATTAGTAACTGACTTAGTTTTTCCTTTGGGATTTGTTGCTGAAACTAAAAGTTTGAGTCCCTTAAGATTCCTAGATTTCGTGGAGGATACTAATTGGCTCATTCATTGGGTAGATATTTACGGACTCATACTATGTGCAGGCACTGGAGATATAGCAGTGAGTAAAATAAACTGTTTCTTCATGGAGCTTTCATTCTAGAGGGGAGATAAATAATAAACACGTATAGAGATTTGGTGTCAGTTACAGGGTATGAGGACTGAGAATTGTCACAGGGGTGTACTCTTTTATGTAGTGTGGTGAAGAAAGGCCTGGGAAGATGACACCTGACAGATGCATGGAGGCAATCAGAGAGAAAAGAATGTGGCTACCTGGGTAAGAGCACTGTCAGAGAGAAAAGCAGGAGTAGATGCCCCAGGACCAGAGTGTGCTTGATGCAGTTGAGGAATCATGAGATGAATGTTGCTGGAGCAGAGAAGCAAAAGGAAGGAGGTAGGAGATGAAGTTAGAGATGTAGTCATGACCTGAGGCTGTGTGAGGAGTTTTATTCTGTTTTTAATCCTCAATCAGAAAATATTTATTGAGTCCATCTTATTTGGGACAGCACCATGTGAGCCATGTTAGAACACATGAATGGGGATCGTATGACAACAAAGAGCTCAAAGCTAGAGCTGCCTAATGCTCTTTGATTTGCTTCTGTCATTTGCCCCACGTGTTTGGCACCTTGGATTATTGCACCATCTGGACTATGGATTGTCTTGGTGAAATGGCTTTGTCAAGAGTGATGATGGACAAAGGAGCTTTTTGTCTTCTCCCTTTGTTCAGTTTGGAGAGTCGTAATGGGAGACTAGATTCCCAGCAAACCACCAGTGTACCAATTCCTTAGCTTAATGAATAAAAAATTATAGGGAATGATATACATGAAGGGAAATCACATTCAACAGTTTGGAAATTAATACATTGAAAAGCATTGAAACAACTTAAGAGATATTACTTTTGTGGTCTTGTAAACATTTGAATTTATGGCAGAAGACTAAATAAAAATAAGAATAATATAGTCAACATGCATGTGTTTATATCTTGTGGGTATTTTGAGCGATACATGCTTTTTTTTAGGTTATAGAAAAGATAAATTTGTTTGGATGGATTATTTGAAGGCCTGCAAATTGCAAAATGCTCCCAAGAAATTATTCAGAAACAGAAGTTCTGTAAGTATTTTCTTCCTCGGTGTAAATCACATTTTTCCTTGAGTTCACATTCCTAAAAATCCTCTGTATATTCTATTGTATTTTAATTTTTAGGGACTCCTTAGTTTTCTATGAGTTTTCTTACTTAATTGATTAGTTTCTTATGCCTTTTACAATTTTTTTTTTCTGTTTTGCTTTAAATTTAGCTTTGGTGTTTTGATGACAGTAGATAGCTCAGATAGTCTTTGAATGTATCTGGCTTAATTGTATTTAAGTGTAATGAGAATCACGGTGACATTTCACACAGATTCAAGGGGACTTGGAAAGAACACACTCCTTATGCCATCTGTGTCCCCAGAAACCTAACAAGTCTTCAGTAGAGAATGAGAGTAAGTTGCAGCTCTCACATCCTCTGAGCCACTCTCTCAGCCTAGCAGTGAGGACACAAGCCAGGGAAGGGAACTTGAAGCCTTGGGCCCTGGGATGGCCCTGCCTCCCAGTAACTATGTTGCAGTTAGAACACTCACCCAGAATGGAGATTTCAGTATCCTGATTTTGAAATACATATTATGCAATTGCTGATGTTTCACCATAGGATTGTATCAAGGAAAGAAACTTTTAGAAAAGTAAAATTGCTTTCAAATGTAATATGCTAAAGGAAAAGAAAATCAGGTTCAGTTTAGATAGTGAATGAGTAAAATACCTTATTGTAGTCCCCATATGTTGTATATATTTCAAAATCCCAGGACTGGCTAAAGATAGCTTATTAAAAGTGGGGTTTTGTTATTGTAAATCACAGTTCATGATATTTTGAATACAAAAAATAGTGCAAATACTAAAAAATAGCATTTAGATTTTTCAACTCTAATTATATTCATGTTTAGTGCTTGTGTTCCTTAAATATTGAGAAAACCAGTATTTTCAGATTGGATCAAAGTAAATGATAATTTTGGTGTTAAAAGGACTATCTTTCCTTGCTTTTTCCAAATAGTGGTATTTGGAAACTATTCAAAAGCCTTTGGAGGACAGAAGAAATTATTTGATATTACTGTAGTTAGTAAGCATTGTGTTTTAATATTAATACAACTTGAGGAGCTGAAGAAGGAAAATGATTATGATCAAGAGAAATAAAACCTACCTGCACAAGGAGAAAATAATTAAAAGGTGGCTTCTTGGGTCTTTATTAGCAATGTAAACTTTATAACAGTTTGTTGGGATATTTTTGCTAGCATTTGCTTTATTCTGGAGGGGTAGGTGTTGATACCCTGTAGTCTTTTCTGATTCTATACATCATAGAAGCTTTGACAGTGGCTCAGTCCTATTTGGTGTTCTGTTTTTTTTGTGTGTTTGTTTGTTTGTTTGTTTGTTTTTTGTTTTTGTTTTTTGTTTTGTGCCTCTTCCCTCTGGTACTGTGTTAGAATGGGCCAATGCCTAAAGAATTTCAGGTTGGAATGAAGCTGGAGGCCGTCGACAGGAAGAACCCTTCCTTGGTGTGTGTGGCAACCATAGCAGATATTGTTGAAGATCGCTTACTAGTGCATTTTGACAATTGGGATGATAGTTACGATTACTGGTGAGACACCAATGTGCGTTTTATTTTCGTGTGTTCATGTTTGGTGTTAAAACTTTATTTCATTCCAGTGCTGTTGCTGTTCTTGCTGTCCTTACAGTAACAACCAACCTTCACTCCCACATGAACTGTTGAATGAAAGAACACAAGAAACTTCCTCCATTCTGGAAGAGGTTAACTAAGGAGGCCTCATCTATCAGTTCAGGGACTTCACTATATTGTGTCTGGTCTTAAAGGAAGTGTTTCTGTCAAGAAAAAGTTAAGAATTTGCAGTATTGTTTTTCCTAAAAAATGTTACAGTATCATATTTGTAAAAAGGGAGATTCAGGTGGAATCGAGTAAATTATTTGAAAACCTATGGGGAGCAGAGAAAATGTATGATCTGAAGCCATTAAACTAACATTGCATGAATTAAAAGGGTTTTCTGGGCAAAAACCTGAAATATAGAAGAGGGTATGACAAAAATAATTTTTGTAGTGTTTCTTCACAGTATATGCTGAATAACCTGCCTGCTGTGGTTCTTCATGTGCCTGGAGGGGGTCCTGTTCTCTTCTTTGAATCAAGAAGCAGAGCATACATTAATTGTTGTATGTGTCTTAGGCAGAATTGTCTGGATATCTTGAAGAGGAGACAAAGAAAATAAGTAGTCAAAGGGAGTCCGACTGAGCTATCTTACAAAATTTGGACTAGCTTATTCATATTTTTCCATGCTGTTAGCAAGAAGGGGTAAAAAAATTATTAAAATATTCAATCTTTGAGGAGATCACTGACAGATAAGGTCCTAGACAGATACATTTTTTAACACTTTTAAATTTAAAGAAACATGTAACAGTAGTTTTGTAACTCAGCTTACAAAATATAGTAATAAAAATTATTCTTAATTTGAGCAAAAAATAATATTTTAGCTATGAGGTAATATATCCCAGCTATCTTTCAGTGTGTAGAATGGTCATTATTTTTGGTTCCTTTCTCTGGTCTTGAATAATATGGGCTCTAAAATAGAAAACTGTTTTTGCAGGTGTGATGTCAATAGTCCTTATGTCCAGCCAGTTGGTTGGTGTCAGGAGAATGGAAGAACTCTAATAGCACCCCAAGGTAGGTGAACTGTTGTTTTTTTTTTTTAAGTTATCCCTGTGTGAGTGGCAGTGCCTATTCTTATTTTTGATTATGCAAATCACATTGCAATATAAAGTTGTATAATTAAATACTGCCCTAGCTTCTGTTGACCCAAATGCCTGAAGTCTGTACATCCTTCCCCATAATGAAAATGTACTCTGTTTATAAAGATGTATAAGGTGGTCATTATAAAAAGTTGCTAAGATGTTTCATGCGACAAAATTAGTACTGTTGCCGTGAATCAGCTTTTTTTGTTTTTTAAAGATTTATTTATTTATTTATACAAGCACTGGGTACAGTCAGAAGCGCGGGAGGGTGAGAGAATTCACCAGAGCCAGAGCGGGGAGCAGAGCAGGCAGTAGGACCGAAGTACACTGCTGAGGGGAGCAGCGGGCTGCAGGAGAGTTCTACACGCCATGTGGGACCCGCCTCCGTAGGCCCGGGACCAGCGGGGATCGAACCGGCACTGCAGAAGCTGCTGGCAGCTTTGCAACCCAGCGCTCAACTGCTGCGCCACCGGGGAGGCCCTGAATCAGCTTTTAAAACAAGCTGTTTCTAGCTATGTATTTTATCTTATAATTTACATTATTTCATTAATTAATGGTAAGATTATTTATACTTTGTAGTTAAATATAAAACTGTAGAAATCTAGAGTCTCCAGATTTGGCAGATACCTTCACCAAACCATCTTTTTTTTTTTTTAAAAGATTTATTTATTTATTTATATAAGCACTGGGTACAGTCAGATATGTGGGAGGGTGAGAGAATTCACCAGAGCCAGAGCAGGGACAGAATAGGCAGACTGACAAGTACACTGCTGAGGGGAGCAGCGAGCGCGGCAGGAGAGGTCTGTGCACCATGTGGGACCCTCGCCAGTGGCCGGGGATTGAACCAGCGCTGCAGAGGCTGCAGACAGCTTTGCAGCCCAGCGCTCAACAGCTGCGCTACCGGGGAGGCCCTCACCAAACTATCTTAATGACTCAGCTAATCACTGAAGTAGGGACTCTTTCTACTAAGTTATATTTTCTTATCACAGGAATATGTAATCTGAGCATTTTAAAAACAAATACTCTATCAAATATTGATATTCTTTCAATAAAAAATTGTATAGAAAAACATGAACAAAGGAGTATGACATTCAACAATGGAACAGATGTTTAACCTTTGAATTTGACTGGTTCTAGAATTTTGCTGTTTTGTACTCTTTCTTTATTTCCATAGAAAATGTTAAGATTTGTCATCAAACTTTAAAATTAAGTGAAATAATTAAAAATAACCAAATTAAAAAAAAAACACAACATATTTTAAAATATCCAAATAGTCCAGAAAGGTTTTATGAAATGCATAAGATCTTTCCAAATTCTGATACTGACACAGGTAGATTTAGTATTGTTTGCCCTACTTTTCTATAAAATTGATTAAAGCTAAATTTAGAATAATTTTTTTAAATGAATAAGACTTATCAGATCTCAGACTATGTGGTTTGAAGTTGTGTTTTTTTTTTTTTCTTCTAGTGAAATAACTTCTCTGCTGCTTCCAACTTGTTCTCATTAGATTTCACAGACTCACTGAGCAAGTCCATAGCCTTGCCTTTTGGTGCTGCCTGAGTCTAGAAATAGTCTGTTCAACACATTAAGAATTATATGTCCAGAATCTTTGCATCATTAACATGAATCAGGAGTGGTGAGAAGCAAACCTTCCTCACTCCAGTGCGGCCATGGTTTAGAGGACATGATTGGATGTGAATAGATTATTTAGTTCATAAAATCAGTAATGTGAGAAAAGTAATCAATCCAGGTTTGTAGTGTTAACTCTATTGAACAGTACACACTCTCTCTCTCTCTCTCTCTCTCTTTCTTTCTCTCTCTCTCTCACCATATTGGAAATCTAATAGTTTTGATGAATGTACCTCTAAACTGCATATACTTGTTAGCATTACTTTTGCAAACTGAAGAGTAAGTTTGCATATCAAAATACTTGTCCCCAATCCCTATTGCTTTATATACTTTGTTTCTTGGTGGTAAGTTCCTTATCCATTCATTTAATTCTATTGAGTTGTAATTCACATACTAGTCTTTATTATTTTTGTGATTTTTGTAAAAGTTCTTTATATAATCTGGATATTAAATCCATATTTTATAAGTTATTTGCAAATGTTTCCTCCCATTTTGTATATTGACTTTTCACATTGTTGATACTGTCCTATGATGTACAATAGTTTTTTTTTTTAATTTTAATGTAGTCCAGTTCTTATAAGTTTATGTTTGTAATAGAGTATCTAAGACTCTGAGTGCTAAGAAAAAACAGGATAAACAGTAATTCCAAATGTATAGTTATTTACAATACCCATCTATAGTGTGGTTATTTATCTTTAAGAGTAATTCAACTATGCCATGGGAGGTTTTCTAGATTGTTGCAGGAGTTGCCCCTTCACAGTGACTTTCATGAGCTCAAGGAAATTTCACATTTAATATGCCGATATGTGAAATGAAATTTAAGTAGATCAGCCTTTTAATTAAGGCAAGAATGAAAACTGAGTGTAATGCAAAGGAATTATGAGCAGATATTGGGTGAAGGTAAGTAAAGCTAAGCAGTAAATAAATTTGCTTAAAAAACTCATGATGAGTTACTATCATGCTGGTATACAAGTTTGTGTAAAAACTTGAGTGCACCACAGATATTAGATCTTTGTTAATTGTATAAGAGAGGAAAGATTTGAAACCATAGGGAATAGGAGGCAGAATAATTGTGTGTTCAGGTAGTTCACAAACAGGAATTTAAACATTAGCTTTCAGTAAGAAAACCAACCAACTAACATGATTTCAGATATTCTTGCCTCCATAATAAGGCTGGACATAGGACTGCTTGAGATATTTGTGTGTGTGTGTGTGTGTGTGTGTGTAATGTGTTCTATTTGTTTTATATTTTATGGTATAAATGTAGTAGAAAATAAAAAGAAGTAATCATTGGATTGAATGATTTATTTTTGTCAGTAATTTGATTCCAAAATTTATTAGCTGGGGTTATTTTACTTAAAGTGAATTTATATTTTGAACTTTATGCCTATAGATTTTCACATTAAATTTTATTTAATGGTTATAGCTACCCTGTTGCCAGAAAAAATGTATTTGTTGCATTTGTGATGCTTTGTTTGTGTTTGTGTGTGTGTGTGTAATTGCCCTTCTGAGAGCAATTAAGGCACTTGAAAGAAGAACAGCATGTAGTGATCTGTGTAGCTGCCCCTGGAGTATACTCAGGTTCTCACAGATTTCAGATGGAAGAGCCTATTCAGAGAGAGAAAGGGGGGGGAAAGGGGCTAGTTTTAAAAACATACACATTATAAAATATGAAGGTGCTTTTCCCTGATACCCTATATGTCACATATTCTAGTCAATATATTTCTAGAGAAGACTAAACAAACATAGCATGAACTCTTTCTTCTGAAGAAGAAATTTGCTGGAAGTTTGATTGAAGTTACAAAATGACAAAGTGTTAGCTAATAACATAAACTGGAGCCTTTGAAGAAGAGACAGCCCCTCTCCACACGTTTGTGGAACCCAGAGTGAGATCCGGATCTTCACTTGATGATAGGCAGGCATTCTCCAGTTAAAAATCACATCCTTACCATAAATAGGATTAAACCTGAGCGCTTGTTAAAATAAAATCTCTTGTTAGCGTATTTTCTGGTGGAACATCATATAAAAGTTAAAAATTGGATCTGTTAAACAATATTAAATAGATTGTTAGCTGTTTAATTCCTGTCAGATTTTAAAAGCAACTCTTACTGCTTTGAAGGTATGTGAAATTGTCAGTGCTCTATATTGCTTGGAGTAACTTGTTTGCCAGTTAAAATAGTGCTGATAAGATTTTTCTCAACAGTCTTCCATGTGTGAAAATATTTCTGTTATCAGTGACAGGAGCCATTGCTTCAGTAACCCTTTGCTCCATCTGGGAAGATAGAGAGTAAACCTAGAGAATAGTGCTTGTTGTCAGGGCTGGTCAAGTCTCTTAGAAAGAGTAATAATCCTGCATAAAATGCCCTCCAGATGCATATTACTGTTCACATTTAAAGGACAGATTGAAACTAAACTCAAATTTATTTTAGCAAACATCTCCATTATGAGTTCTGTGTTTATAGAATAGGGAAAACCAGGAAATTTAAAACATGATACTTGCCCTGAAGGAAAGGATTGATTTATTTTATTGAGATATAATTCACACACTATACAATTCATCCACTCATAGTCCATGATTCAGTGGTTTTTTGAAACATATTTACAAAATTGCATAACCAAACCACACTTTTATTTTTTTTTAATTTTATTATGTTTATTTTCAAATTTTATTAATATCTAAAAATTAGCCTTTGCAATAGTGGAATAGGCTAAGGTCGCTACTATAGTTTCATTTATCACTGAAGCTTATATCTCTTTTTTTATTGAAGTAACATTGCATCATAACATTATGTAAGTTTCACCCGTGCTTCATTGAAAATCAATATGTGTCTATACTATATTAAGTTCACCACTTGTCACGGATAGCTAAGTAAAAAGGATGTGGACACTGAGTCTGGAGAAGTTTGCTAGGGCTCCTAGGGAGAGAGTTTCTTAGGCTTGCTCTGCTCGCCTCAGCTCGCCACAGCTTTTATTAGCAGATGCAACAAAGTTACAAAGCAAGATACAGGATGGGCAGAAATACAGAACAATCATCCATTTTTTTATTTCTGAATATTCAGCACTTGTTCTGACACATAGTCATCGCTCAGGCTCTGCACTGTTTCTTTCCTAATCTAGTTGGCTTCCCTGGCATAGTTCATCTGACAGAAGAGAGAGTATCCTGACCTGTACACGGGCTGGTCTTCTGACCTGAGCTCATCAGTCTTGTAGCCACGACCAGTCTTCCAGCCATGACCTTGGTGTCTTCCCTGCCCCAAGGCTTCACTCCTTAGGGGTCCCCAACAACCACTGAAAGTCCAACTC